TTTTTTACTTCAACATGGGTAATATCTTTCGAAATACAGCAATTAAAACTGATGGTCAAAATATGAATAATGTACCTGATAACGATCCACCAGATCCAACTCGAATTCAATTTCCAGCATGTATGGGTTCTGAACCAATCATACGTATTCCACTTGATCTAGATATGGATCAATCTTTAGACAAACGATTAACATTTAGAGTACGACATGCAGCTACTGATTTTCCAGCAACAGTAGAAGCACATAAAGATCATACAATTTCCATACTTAAACGATATTTAATTGAACATATGGGAATGCCATTTCCAAGTAAAGATGGGAAATGTAAAATACTGATGGTATGGAATAAACCTGATTTACTACGTGATGAACCCTCTGAAGATCAATCGGAGATAAATGAACGATTTTTAGGTGGAAGTATTGATCATTTACGATTGACTGAATATGGTCTTGAAAATGGAGATTATCTCATGTTTACAGTTATGTTTCCACAAATAATGAAAGCGTCAACTAGTTCATTTCAGTCAAATGGGATAGCTATGAAGTAATTTTATCACTTTATTGAAGATTATCATTATAAATTTACACAAAGTCACATTGCAATTATTCAGACAAAACTTCATTGCATAAACATACATTTGATTTTTCTATCAAAAATATCATACTAATAAAGCATTTAGTGAATGAAAAGAATTTTATTATGATTCAGAAAATTACATTTGAATAAAAAGTCTCCTTTAGTATTTCTTTCAAAGAAACAAAAATACTTTCTATTTATTAAGACTTCTAAAAACAATCAATTTTCTAAGCATTAAAAAATAAACATCTAGTACAAATCTTTTTTTCTTCGACAAGATAAAAAAAGATTGAAGCCTTTCAAATAACATACTCAAGCAAATAATTTCATATCCTCCAAAAATAGAAAAAATTTATTCATGTAAATTATTTTATCACAACATTCACGCTACGATAGAGACTTTTAATCTACACCTCCATACTAGAGATGATCGTAGAGAATTTATTGGGAGATTCTAGAAATGATTCTGGTATATATATTATACCATTATAGGATTAAATCGAATTGGAAGAGAAGAAACCTTTTAAAATCTTAGTAAAATAATTGTAAAAATCTTCGTGAAATTATGGTGAAATCTTTGAATATCTCAAGAAAACGGTGAATAATAGTGGGGGAGAAATTTTCATGCAATCCGTTTACGATCGACATATATATTCGATAAATCTTTGAAGAAATCCGACATCGGATCAGATAGTTCCCCATAAGGTCTACAGATCGGATTGAATGACTTAGGTAGACACAAAATTTTTATATGAAAAAAGAAACATTGTCTTGCTAGTAATTAAAGACTTTTAGTATCTATTGTGACAGTAATTTCTGCTTAGATGCTTCATAAAACACAATTCATAAGAAAAAGATTCATATTTTTTTTATATTCAGTTTTAGACTTTCCCGGAAAAGAAGAAAAACGCAAATAATAAAGAATATATCATTTTAAATAAAGTAACATGTCATCATCGTCCGTTTCTGATGGAATTCTGAACTTTGCTACGCAATACTCGATTTATACTGGTTATATTACGTTTAGTTTTGGAGTTATTGGTAATGTATTGAATCTTCTCGTTTTTACTCAACTGAAACTATTTCGAACTAATCGATGTGCCTTCTATATAACTATTGAATCAATCTCCAACTTAATTTATCAATTTTTCTTCATTAGTTTAACTATTTTAACGTCAATATATGGAGATGATGCAACAGGACGTTTTCTCATTTGGTGTAAACTCAGATATATATTGGCACAAATATGTGCGCTCACCACTTTTTATATGATATGTTTTTCTGCTGTTGATCAGTTCTTTTCAACAAATTATCGTTTCAATTTAAGACAAATGTGCACATTGAGATTAGGTCGATATTTTGCGTTTATGTTCATTTGTTTTGCGATCATTCATAGCATTGCACTTGGCTCGTCTTATGCTATTCAACCAACATTAGGATGTATCATATCAGATCATACATGGGTTCAATATTCAACGTATTTCTTTTATCCAATTTTACTTGTTTTTCTACCTATTTCAATTGCATCAATATTTAGTATCTTAGCTTATCATAATGTTCGTCATATAGTTCGACGACAATTACCAATTGTTCGTCGCAAGTTAGACAAACAAATAACAGCGATGGTTCTTATGCGTGTAATAGCTTTTGTTTGTTTGGCATTACCTTTTAATGTTTATCGTATATATGTCATTAATTTTCCTACGTCACCAAGGATGCTTATGTCATATGCAATTAGTCGATTAATTCAAGCAATTCTTCTGTCTATTAACAATATAAATTATACGGTAAAACTATTTTCTTTGTTAGTTCATATTTGTAAGATTTTGACTTATTTTAGATTAGCTTTTATATCTTTATAACATTCTCATCACGTTTTGGTCGTCAAGTGAAACTTGTTCTAGTCAGAAAATGCTGGCAACGATGGAAATATTGGTGCTGTCGAATAAATAATCGAATTGAATCTGACAGCAATAACGAGTCACGCAAGTCACAAATGGAATCTGAAGAAAACATCTAACTATTCATTTAACAATTTTTGAAATCTTTTGAATAAATTAAATTTGCTTAACTTATCATTAGTTTCCTTTGATTATTATTTGTATATTGTCATTGTTCATCGATTGATTAAATAGTAGGTAGAGATGTATCAAAAATAATCATTATTTAAATTTGTTTCATTTTCAAATTGATAGAATTTTATCGAATTAACTGACTCATCTACATCATTAATAAATGAAATATTTTTAAATATACTTTGATTAATATATTTTTGAACTAGAGAATAATTTACATTGAAATGAAAAAATGACTTTTTGTATATCCATCATAAAATCAAGAAGGTAGATCAAAATAAATTGATTCAAATAACATTTCATATTGAGTAAATGTAAAAAATAATATTTTTTCATGCTTATTCTTTGACGTACTGTTAACCGTTACTTTAACGCATTCTTATGTCCACAACAATAACATATTGCCATGTGGAGAGAAAAGCTCTGAAAGAAATCATCAAAAGGAAGTCTAAAATATTTATTTCTTCATTACCATTGACAACAAACAATACTTAAATACATTTTTATCCGTTCTTTCTTTTCTTGCGTCAACTTAGACGATAGATGGAGTAGAACGAGAAAATTTTAGAAAAAAAATCATACATTATATAAA